ATTTGACAGACTAGTAAGAAGGGCCACTTCATCAGCAGTGAAAGGAATGGGTTGACCTTTTATAACAAAGCATTATTTTGAAATGTCCCACTTTGAGATCAGCTCATAAATAAGAAGGACATTTTGCTCAAATCCAAAAAATTCCAAAAACTGTATCATCTTTAAACGTTTCAATGTGTCCTTGACTTCAGGAGTAATTTGCTAAGCAAAATTATCACAGATTGTTCGAAACGAAGAAACATAGCATCGATAGGTAATTGGACGAACATATATCTGAAAATTGTAAAAAATAAAAAATAAAAAATAAGTAAATGAGACACGCACAAAAAACGCAAAACATACACAGAACAGAAGCAACGGTCACGCACAGTGTACGCATAAAATACTCATATATTACGCACAAAACACGCACAGTACAGGAAACATGACAGCAAATTATACAAACACAAACAATACGCACATCATAAGCACTGATCACACATAGTATATGCATAACATACGCACAAGAACGCACATTGCAGAAAATATGGCAGCAAATTATACGCACGCATAAAGTACGCACAATATAAGCAAGGATAACGCAACGTGTACTCATAGAATACGCACAAAAGACGCATTGCGTACGCACAGCCTACGCATATGTTACTCGGTGCTTAAAATTTAGTTAGGTTTTTTGTTTCAAATTTCAACATAAATTCATCATAAACCCTGAATACAGAGAAAACACGATGACATCAAAGTATCAAACATTTAAATGTTGATGTCAACGCATAGCATAACCATAAAATACGCAGTACGGAACAGAAAACATAGCTTTAAGTTACCTTTCTCTTTGTGGGTGACGACATCTTAGAAGAAACTGAGTGAAGAATGCTTGAAATTGCTCCGGAGTGAATGCTTGAAAATTCAAATTTTTGCTGGAACTCGAAAATCTAAACGTCGCCTCTCCATTCGACCTAAACCAGGGTTTAAATGTTGATGCCACGTCGACATCTCACTAGGCGCGCCACGTCGACAACTGGGGGGCCAAACTGAAAAAAAAAATTAGGTTAATTTTTTTAGAGGCGACGCCTTAATTATATGAGGGGCGACGCCTTAATTATATGAGGTGAGGCGCGCCTCAGTAAACTTGAGGCGTAAGCCTCATAAACTGAACTTATTGCGTGGGCTTTGAGGCTTAAATGGACCAAATTGCGTTGAGACGCGCCTCTTATTGCGCAATTTTAAACGTTCATTAAGTCAGTGGCCATGCTATCGTGCCATACCCTCGCACAAATTTTCGATAATACCATATGAGACCTAAGAAGCCCTCTCAACTCCTTCAGGTTCTTAGGTAAAGACCAATCCAACATAGCCTCATTCTTGGACTGGTCTGTTAATACCCCTGTTCTGCTCACCACATGTCCTAGGTACTCCACTTGTGGCTATGCAAAGGAACATTTCTTCAAATTGGCATATATCAAGTGCTCTCTCGAAGTCTCTAGTATCGTCCTTAGGTAACCCACATGCTCTTCCTTCATATGATTGTAGACTAGGATGTTGTCAAAAAATGCCAAGATGAACTTTTTGAGGTAGGGTTGAAAAACTTTGTTTATGAGAGATTGAAAAGTGGCTAGAACATTGGTAAGGCCGAAAGGCATCACCAAAAGTCATAGTGACCCTCCTTCAAGGTAATTGCATGCTCATGTTCCCTAGGTGGTGGTAATATGCTATTTGCTAAAAATCCTCAAGAAACTACTACAAAAGTTGATGTACAAACTCAAGGACCTTGATCGGCTTTGAATCTTGGATCTCCTCCATACTCTGCAGCTCAACCAAGTAGGTTAGTCTTGCTCCCTTTATCGCCTTGACCATGGTTTTGAGTGACACCATGATCCTGCATAGGTTGGCATCTACTCGCAGCACCACCCTCTTCACCTCCACCTGAATCTCTATAGTCAAGATTTCCAGTGTGCCTTCATCTCTCTGATCGTTTGTAACCACTTCATCCTTAGATCACATCAGTGTTCCATAAATCCAAGGGAAGAAAATCATCCACTATCTTTATGCCCTAGAGTGTCAGCACCAATCTCGTGTAAATCCACCGACTCTTCTACACCTTCCCTATCCCCATCATGACACTAAAGCTCCTTGTATCCATCAACTTCAATTCAACTGGCCCATGACCTAATTTGAGATTAAGTTGTGAGTAGCCTCACCATCCACCAATATCACCACTAGACACTTCCCGATCTATCCCCTCTCCTTCATGGTGTGATTTGGAGTAAATCCCACCACTAAGTTAAGGGACACTTTCATTACATCAAGGTGTGGGTGATGTCCTTGCACTGATGGCCTTGTGCATACTTCTCATCAAATTAGAAGCACAAACCCTTCACTCTCTTGTCCTGCTCTTCTGCCTTAGTGAGGCCCTTCAAGTTGGCCTTAGGGCAAACTCCCCCACTTTTCTCCTTCGGTGCCTCATGCTGAAATGACACCGTTTGGGTCCTTAGTGCCAGTGAAGTCGAGGCACTCCTATAGGAACCTCCTTTTACTTTGCTTCTACTGTTCCTCTCCATCTTTCTTCGATCCTCCACCATCTGGGCTAGTTCCATTGTCTCCCTCAACCTCCTCGGCCTCAATAATCAAAGGTCTACTCGTATGTCAGGCTTTAGGCCCTTCCTGAAATTTTCCTCTAACACTGCCTCCGAAATTCCCCTCAACTTCCCTGGGAAACTTAAATCTCTCCTTATACTCCATGATGGTCTCACCCTGAGTTAGGGCAATAATTTGCTCGTGTAGGTCTCCTTCCCAATTGGCTCAAAATTGCTCCATCAAGTTATTCTTAAACTCCTCCAAAGAGAGGATCGTATATCCAGCTTCCTTCCATTGGAATGAAGCTAGGATTTTTCTTTCCAAACATAGCCTTATGACTGTAAGCTTTTCCTCCTCATTTAATTATTTAATGCGAAATACCCCTCCATTCGGTACACCCACCTATGGGCATCCTCCTATTTAAATATTGTCATCTTCAACTTCTTCACCCTAGCATCTCCAAACCAACTTTCTCTCCCTCCAACGGTTATCCCCGTGTATCGAGGGTGGGAATCTTACCTTTCTTCCATTCTCCTTGCAAGACTCGATCCCCATTGCTTGGCTCAACCCCCTCCATCTCCGGTCACCTGGTCCCCTTTGCCCGAAAAGTCTCCCATAGTGGTTGGCCACCCACCACCTCCACCAAAAAATTCCCTTGCTGTCCCGAAACCCTAATCCGCCCCTTATATGAGCCTTAGAAGGTGGCTCTTGATGAAAGAAACTCTCCTCGCCGAACTCCTCTCGTTCTATTTCCTTTCCCTTCTATTTAACTAAGGGAATCCCAATCAAATTTTTGTTAGGGTTTGTAATCGGAACTGCCACTAGAGTTTTGGATTGCATCTCGATGAGCTTCTTCATCATCTATCCAACCCTCAAAATCGGCTCTCCATTTGATATTCCATGGAAGAAAAACTTCCTTCGTTGGTTGAGAATTTCTTCTCCATCCCAAATTTGATTTGTTGTACTTCGCCTTCCAACACATCCATCTTTTTTGCTGTCATCACTCCAAAATCTTGCTTTGATACTAATTTGATGCGACTTTGAAGCAAAGACAACAAAATAGATAAGAAGAAAATGCAGGAACACAAATATGGGGGCTTATTTTTTATTACTCTCTTAACTTTAATGAAAGATACAATTGATCTACTTTTCGAGAGGTAGATCGGCTTTCCCACAAACCCTAACTGCCGCTAGGAAACTCACACCCAAAAGAGGAAAAATAAACCTAGCACACATAAGGATGAAAACCCTGATATAGCTCCCCCTTAAATAGCCATCACACATAATAAACGCATCTAAAAACATTCCTAAAAACTCCCCTTTTATTCCTCCTCCATACATAATGAGTAATAGCTCCTTTGGGCCCATAAAGGTGGTCGAAATTCCTCCTACTGCTGCCTCTGATTCTACCTAGCCAAATGGCTGGTTCATCCTGGGCTAGGCCAATCGACGATCCTGATTTTTTAGTCAGATGTGCAAATCATTCTTCTGAGATCAATTTTTTTTATCAAGTAAGAATCTAGAAGAATTCTAGGTGTGGTTTTCTCATGGTATTAGTTTGAGGAGGCATGTATTCCTGTGATTTTTTTTCCATTTTTTTTTTAACTCTTGTTTCATTTGCTCAATGTTTTCTTGTTATGGGTTTGAAAGCTTGGTTTTGCCTGGAGAAATTTGCTATAATATGGTGATGAACATTGTTTTGTCAATCCTTAATTATATTCAACTTTTTTTGTCAAATGTTATTTCAAATCCAGACAAAATAATCTTTGACAATTTTCCTCTCTTTTCTCTCTTTTCTAAATGTTTTTCTTGTTATGTTTTTGAATCCCAGATTATGGTCAATCAGATTTGTTATTATATTGTTTTATATCAATTGCAGGACTTCTAGTGATGCATGTGACTTTCTTGATCTTTAACTGTAGTCATTAATTTCTATTAGATTTATAAATTTTCTCTGAGTTGAATTCTGTTATCTTTTGATTTTTCATCAATGTACTAAATAATTTTTCTGGTTAATAGTTTGTGTTGCAACATTTTCTGCATTGTATAGATCTACATTATAACCCTATTCCTTAAGGCAATCCTACACACATACAAAATCTTCATCAGTGTTTAAATCATTTCATTTCTCTGTGCAAACCTAATTTTTAGTCTAACTATACTTGGTTTTCTCTAATAAACTTTTTTTATTTACCTCCACAATCCTTTGTCTCTTATCTTGAAAATTTATTGATAGCGTATTCTGCTGATGGTAAAAGTGCTTCCTTATTCAAACGCTATCATTATCACTACTTAACGATATGCAAAAAACGGAATGCATGTTTTTTTTTTAAGTTAAACCATCTTTTAAATATGAGAAAGTTTTAAAGGTTATATATGGTTGTTTTTTTCAAATTTTTTTTTTTTTTTTTTTTTTTTTTTCAATGTAGGGGATGGTTTCTATAGAAAATGTCTCATATCTACAAGTGTCGAGCTTCAAAGACTTGATGGCTGTCATTCTAAGGGGGTCAGAGCAAAGACACGTGGCTGGAACCCAAATGAATGATGAAAGTTCAAGATCACATTTGATATTATCCATCATAATTGAAAGTACCAATCGTCAAACACAAACTGTTGCAAGAGGAAAGGTACGCTTGCATATACTATGAAAAGCTAACTTCGTTTAATGTCTATTTTTTTATAAGATATTTTGAAGAATATTAATCATTCTGTGAAGTTTTTCAATAATGCTGTAATTTTGTTGTTACTTGCACTTACAGTATCCTGACTAACTTGAACAAGGCTTTAAATTTTTGTTTCGGTTTCACTCCCATTTTGAAAATCTCAGCTTCTGTAATTCTGATAGTTTCAAGGGTTTCAATATTTAGTTTTGGTATTATGTTCAATTTTGATTTTCTATTGTTAGATGTAAAATGATTTAAGATATTTCATTTATATCTAATTCGTCAATTTCTTTTTAATTAGAAAGATATTTAAATATAGGAGAGAGGTATTATAAAAATTTTGTTATATCTTATCTTATTATAATAAGTCAATTATATATAATATGCATGCATAAAAATTTTGGTAATATTAATGTATTATTATTATTATTTCAAAGATGTCATAATATATAAATGAATTATACTATATCTTCATCTTACATTATATGTTAATTTTTGTTATTTTTTGTTAAAACTAAAAGCATTTAATTAAGTTTTAGCATACTCCTTTTCATGTTTAATTATGAATTAAAGTGATGCTTAGAATTGTAATAATTGAATAAGAATTAAATTTATGAGTCATTTAATGAGGTTATGGGACAGAGCAGTGAAATATAGACCTAGAAAATCTGTCTATATTTAAAAACAAATTTAGTTCCATGTTATAAAGATTGACTACTGAACCATTTTTGTTCAAAGAAAAATAATGAAATAGCTCAAAAAGATGCAAAAGGATCATCATATGTTCTTAATTAATTTTGAGAAGACGAATGCCATAAGAATTGTTTGGTGCCTAGTAAGAAAAATGGTATGCCAAAGATATGTTGGCGTTATTAATGTTATGTGTTGGCATGGCATAATGTGTGTAAATAACATTAATGGATAAGTCATCTTATTTGAGGGCTTAGCCAAGCAAGTGCATACTTTATATTATTTCGTCCCAGAACCTTTAAGGAGGATAAAAGTGCATGTGGTAGTTAAGCAACTCATGCATAGAAATTCATTGATAAGAGGTCATTTGTTCAGTGAAAATGTTTGTTCTAAAACTTTACGATCGAGGCATATGATTTCAAACAAATAAAAAAAATACAATATAAGCTTGAGAACATTATATGTATTAAAAAAAGAGCTTTCAACTATGCCTAGGATGAACTTTTCATCAATAAATAATTCTATATATTGTTAATAAAGTGATTTCCAAAAGCTCGAATTAAATGTATAGATAAGCGAATATATTTATTATTATAAATATTTTTTGTTTCCTTTATAGTTTTAATTTATTACTTATCTAATTGAATAAACAAATTGATCCAAAAATATAATACAACAATTTTCTCTAAATAATAAAAAGTCATAAATGCTTATGATTTTAAATGATCCTTGTAATAATATTGTGTTGCAATCCAAAATCTCTAGTTAGTGATTTTGATGATAACAAATATTATTGATTGAATTGTTACTGTTCTTACTAAATATTTTAGATATTTTTTCTGTCTGTGAGCACTAACATTGCAGATAAGACATGCATTGCTCAAGGCTAGTGAAAGTTAAAGAATGGTTAGAATAGGAATGTCAAGTAACGAAGTCTGTAAATTATTTTTTTTTTAATTTTCAATTTCTTCAGTCTGGTCACATAAGAGTGTATGTAATTGGGTGACTATATACACACACACAGTGAGTGATATAAATTTTAAAGGTTTAAATTTTTGTACTAATCGTACTATGCGACTAACAATCGTACTGTACGATCAATATAGAAAGAATGGGCTTGACAGCTAATTGAAAAATTAGTTTATGTGAACTAATCGTATAGTACGATCTCGATCATACTGTATGATTCGTTGCGATATGAAAACCCTAGGCGTCAGAATTTGATTTCTGAACTAATTGTACTGTAAGATGCTAATTGTATTGTACAAATATTTGAAATCTTTCTTAAATTATCTCCCATAATTAGTCAATGAAATCATGATTTAATTAATAATAGTCGATCGTTCCGTACAATATTGATCGTACCAAACAATTAGCATAGATGAAATTTAGCCGTCCCAAATATTGTACCAAATGAAACCATATGATTTTTGAACTAATTGTACCTACGATATTCATATTATACTAACTGTACTATATGATGAGAGCAGTACGGGATGATTAGTAAAGATGATTTTTAGTCATCCCGGGAATCATCTTGTATAAATAGAGGAAATCAAACAGATCGTATTGGACGATCTCTTCATCGTACTGTATGATGTGCTCGAATTAATTGAACAATTTGTTTAAATAATTGTTTACATTGTACTGGACGGAATTAGTTTTGAAATTATTGTACTATACGAACTAGAATCGTACTGTACGAATAGTGATGGCTAACTAGATTTTTTAGGGTTTCTTGAAGCCTAATACTTAAGCAAGTTTTGAAGATTCTCTTTGAGAATGTGAGAGGATTGTGTGACTGTTGAAGGGACTCTGAGAGAAACTTTTAAGAAATCCATGGTTTGAGAGGAAGGAGAAGGTGAGATTGAGCATGAAGGACTGTGACAGGATCACACGGTTGTTCCGGGTTAGTTACACCCTTGCTCCCCCTATGGCCTTGGTGAGTCTTTGGAAGTTCTCTTGGGAGAAAGGCTTCTAGGTCAAGTCCTTGAGGTATTTTGCCTTCTTTAAGAGGGAGAAAATAAAGTTGAGGTACTCTGTCTTCTCTATGAGAGAAAAAAGAGTTGAGGGTCTCTGCCTTCTCTAAGAGAGAAAAATGATTCAAGGTTCGTTGCCGTCACCGGGAGGGTGACATAGCATCCGGCACTCTGCCACGTTAGGTTTGGTGAAAGTGAGTCTATAAGGGCTTCTCTGTCTTACTGTGGGAGCAAAAAGAGAGTCACTTAGTGATTAGTGCAATACCTGAAGCGGTGGACTCCGGGAGTTGACGTAGGTCATGGTTGACCGAATCACTATAAAAATCTCTTGTATGTTTTTTTATTGCACTTTTATTTTTCTTACATTTTATTTCTGTTGTAACTTCTTGGAAAATTGGTTATTATCGTTTAGTTTCATAAATTAAAAATCATCGTAGAGAAATTAATATTTTTGCTAAACTCATTCGCCTTTGCAATCAATTAGAATTTAATATTTCTAATTTCTACAATATTTTTCCAAAATATTGTCATTGTTATTTTGAAATTGGAATTTTTTTAAAAATTATCAATTCATCCCTCTTAGTGAGTCTCGGGCTAATTCCTTAAGGTTTAACAACCTTCATGAACTTTCAAGTGATATCAGAGTGGGTTTCAAAAACAAGATTTTAGAAAACTTTTGAAGAAGGATCAATGACTCTTTTTGGTAATCGTAATTAACAAGTGGCCAACATTTGTTACTCCTCTAGATGATAGCAGATTTTATGTTTCCAACCTCTTAGAAAATGGAAGTTGGAACGTGGAGCAAATGAGAAGAATTATGGGTGAAGACCTTGCAAATCTAATTATACAAACCATTTTCCCAAGTGATTAGGAAGGAGATAAAATGGAACTCTTATTGCAGGTCAATGGAAGATCCTTATCATCTATGGTTTTTGAAAATTCGGTAAACCATACTCAATCGGAACTGTACTGGAGCTGTATCAAAAAAGCTAAACTTAATCCGAAGGTGGAGACATTTTGGTGGAGGATTTATAATAATGGCTTGCCTACTAATGAATTGCTTGAACATAGAAGATTGCAAAGGATCAATCTTTGCCCGAGAAGTTGTAATGTTGCTGAAAACAGAGATCACTTGATAGCTAAATGTCAAAAGCTGAAGGAAGTTCTTATACAAATCAAGGAATGGGGATTTACTTTCAAGGAATTTGATTCTTTATCAGATTGTTGTAAGCATCTTTCTCTCCTAAGTCCATTTATGATTAATCTATATTGTACCGTGGTGTACCTTACATGGAAGTCCAGAAATAATCTTATACATAATGGGAAGGAAGATAGCTCATTATATATTGTTTCCAATGCAATAAGCTATGCTTCAATTTCTGTCCAAGGGATTAGTAGATTCTCGGGTATATGGGATGTCAACCAACCTTCAAGGTTGTCTTACCCTCATTGGCACCCCCCTCCACCCGATTGGCTTAAAGTAAATATGGATGCTTCACTTCTTTCTTCTTATAATACCGGCATTTGGAGGAGTGTTCCGTGATCACAAAGGAAGATTCCTTCTAGCATTTGGAAAACTGTACACCCATTGGGATATTTCTTCCTTGGAACTTTTGGCTACTCAATCCATTAAGGAAGTGTTGAAAGATTGGATGCTTAAATACAAAGGAATCATCATAGAAGGTGACAATTATAATGTCATGGAATTCTTGAAGAAGGCCTAACAAAGTGGAGATACAAGGTATGAAGATGCTTATCTATTTAGTGAGTTTAATAACATCATTTTCAATTGTGTTGATAGTAGTAACAAATTGGCTGATTTATGTGCAAACTTTGGTATTATGAGCCATTTTATTTGGGAGGACATTAGTATTAATAAGATTCCTCCTTTATTCATGTCTTTGTTAAAGGAGGAATCTAGTGTTTTTGGCTCAGTAGGGTTGTAATAATTTCTTAGCTCTTTTCTTTTTAATGCTATTTGATGCATTTTCCTAAAAAAAAAAAATAAAAAATTAAAAAAAAAAACTTTTGAAGAACGATCAATGACTCTTTTTGGTAATCGTAACACTACGGAGGGTTATTCGATAACCCATCCGCCACTGTTTGAAATTATTTCTTTTGATTTTTGGAAAATACGCATGTCTACTTTTTTACAATCTATTGACTATAGAATTTGACATGTGATTCAAATTGGTTATTCACTTCCATCGCATGTAGTTAATGGTTTCAAAATTGATATTCCTTTAAATGAATGGGGCTATGAGGATAGGGAACTCGCATAGTTAAATGCTAAATATTTGAATTGTTTCTTTTGTGCTTTAAAATTTGAAGATTATATTCGAGTTTCTACATGTACTACGAGAAAGGAGATTTGTGATAAGTTGTGTATCACCTATGAGAAAACTAGTGAAATTAAACAGTCTAGGTTAAATATTCTACTGTATGCCTATGAACTCTTTCGCATAAAACCCAGCGAGACTGTATCTGAAATATACACTAAGTTCGCCTAGATAGTGACATCCTTACATGCACTAAGTAGAGAACTATAAAACTCTGAAAATGTTAATAAGATTTTACATTGTTTGTCTAGTTCTTATGATGTCAAGATAACTGCAGTTACTACATCCAAAGACTTAATGTTATTTTGCTTATGAATTGATGCCTCTATATGAAAGCAACATTAAGCCTTTATCCCACTATGTGGGATTGACAACATGAAAATTTTTTTTCATTGTTTTATGTTAAATGTCAAATTATCCTTAAACTCTAATAAAAAAAAGTCATTTCTAATACTTTCTAGCCGAGTCTTTTTAGGTTTAACTCTTGTTTTCCTAACACAAGCCAAATTTAATACATCTAAAAGCTTAATCGGGTCATCGGAAGGCCAACATTTATGTGACCAAACCATCTAAGTCTACTCTCTCTAATCTTATTCGTTACTGGAGGTACTCGAATATTTTCACATATATGCTTGTTTTAAATTCTCTCTAAGTGTAAATTCACTTCAGTTGATGCCTCTATAGTAATCTTATTTTTTAGTAGGCTGATATTTTGACATAATTGATATAATGTTCAACAATTTTTAATATTTTTTTATTCATTTGTATGAGTCAAATTAATCAGTAATTAAACTTTTATTATTATATATCTAATTTATTGCTGTTCGAAATTTCCTTAATTTAATAATTAACTAATTTCTTGTGTCAATTTATCATGAATTAAGTCATTCTGATTAGTGAAAAAACTGATTCTTTTGTTTGACTCATCAATTAGGCTCTCCGCGCTCCCTTCACAAATGTATTGATTCTTTTTTTATATTTGCAAATTTGCAGCTTAGCTTTGTAGATCTTGCTGGTTCAGAAAGGATAAAAATGTCTGGGTCTTGGGGAAATCAGTTAAAAGAAGCTCAAAGCATTAATAAATCGCTTTCTGCTCTTGGGGATGTGATAAGTGCCTTATGCTCTGAGGGTCAACACATCCCTTACAGGAACCATAAGTTGACAATGCTCATGAGTGATTCTCTAGGGGGTAATGCAAAGACACTTATGTTCGTCAATGCGTCTCCCGCGGAGACAAGTTTGGAAGAAACATACAATTCGCTTACGTAAGTTCTTCCTCAATCACCTGAATACGTTATCATTTTCTTGATACTTCTAGCGATTCATTAGCTTTATTTATTATATGGTTATAATACTATGTGGTGAATATGATTTTCTAGTTTATGCAAAAGATGGAACGACATTGTTATTATTTATCTTTTTGCCTTGCCATCTTCCTATTGTTTTGGTGCATCTTGGCAGGTATGCATCGAGAGTAAGATGTGTTGTAAATGATCCAAGCAGGAATGTCTCCTCAAAGGAGATCGCTCGGTTGAAAAAGCTGGTTTCCTATTGGAAGGAGCAAGCAGGAAAACGAGGAGATGATGAACTGCAAGAGATACAAGAAGAAAGACTGTGTAGGGATAGAAAAGATATACTAGAAGAAAGGTATGCAAGGGAGAGGAATGATCGACGCAATTCTACTTGAATGGTTAATTTTGATATCAAAAAAAATATTAGAAGACAGGCATTGGTTGCAGATGCTCTGCAGCTATCATGATTATTGTGGAAATGCGGTTGATTTATCCCAATCATTCAATTTCTTTTGAGTTATTTTGTAAGTAGACTGGTTCTCAACAATTGTTGTCATATTCAATTTTAATCAGTGTTGAGTGAATGATTCGGATGAGTCACCCCATCTCTAATTGCCACCACGGGCAAATGCTGGTTTAAGGCTTCGTTTTGGACGGCTTTTTTTATTGTTTTCTAAAACGTAGTTTTAGTACAATTTTTTTTTTATTTTTGAACTAAAACTTCGTTTTAGAAAGCAATAAAAAAGCCGTCCCAAACGAAGCCTAAGTAGTCGAGACTGTACAGCTCTCAACGAAGCTCCTGTGTACACAAACAACGGTTAGTTATATTAAAGGGAACACATTGTCTTGATATTTTATCTAGCTTAAAGTTATACTTAAAGTTGGGGTTAATATGATTAAACTGAAGTAGTATGTACTAATCTTGTAAAATTGGATTTTATAAATTTTTTAAAATTTTAAATTTATTGGGCTTCATAATTCGTAACTGTCTAAATTTTGATTAATTCTTTGAATATTTATTTCATAAATTGGGATTTAAATGATCAATAGATGAAAAAAAAAGGTATTATTGAGCTCAGATATATCAAGAAATTCTTAACAAAGCTGAAACGTAGCTAACGGAAACATTGGTTTCTTTTCTTAAGGATTTTTTTATTATTCATTTATTCGCTTGTGGAGAATTTACAAAATTATATTTACAATAATAATATTAAGTTTTTATTAAATTATGTGAGTTGATTATATGAAAATTTTTCTTTATTGTGTTTTATTAAGAGTCAATTTTTTATTTAAATTAAATAAAAAAAAGTTCATTCTTAATGTTCTTTTGTCAAATATTTTTAGATATGCCTCTAATTTTTTTTAACAATTGTCAAAATTAATATATATATATTCTCCTAATTGGGTTATTGGAAGATTGACGTTTTATATGTCCAAATTATTTAAGACGGCTTTGTCTAATATTATTTCTGACTAGAGCTATTCTAACCTCTTCACTTACATATTTGTTTTGCATTCTATCTTTTAGAGTGAAGTCACTCATCCACCTAAACATCCTTATTTTTATGACATTTAACTTTATGTTTCTCTTTTAATGGCCAACATTTTGCAAAACAAAGTATTTTAAGTCTTACCACTTTCTTATATAAATTTCCCTTAAGTTTGAGGGGTACTTTTCTATCACAAAATGGGCTTGACCTTTTCCTCCACTTCAACCATCTTAAATTTTGCTAATAATATTTTCATCTATTTCCTCCTTATTTTGAACAATAGACCTAATATATTTAAAACGCATATTCTTATTAATGACATGATCACCCAAATTACAATCCCTCAATGTGATCTATTACAATAAAATTACACCCCATATATTCGATTTTAAATCTACTCATGAAAGTCTTTAGACTCTAAGGTTGACCTTGATAATTATAGTTATCTTTCATCTCCCTCTCTAGTTTTATGAACAAGAAGAATATCATCAGTAAAACACATATACGAGAGAACATACTCTTGTAAATGTTTAGTAAGAACTTTCATGACTAATGAAAAAAACATATAGGCTTAAAGCTGATCCTTGAAGTAATTCAATTGAAATAGGAAAGTTTTTAGTCAAATCACCATATGTTTGAACATAAAGCAATAGCTCTTACATACATATCTTTTGTTAGAATATGAAAATACGAAATGTGTTAAAAAAATAAATTGATTTTTTTTTAACTGTAGTGCTTCGTCACTGTGCTTGTGAGCTTTACAGTGCTAGGTTTGATAGCACAATGGTGCTAAAAATTGATGTTGCAATGTTTGAGTCTCTATTCTATAGTAATTCTAAATTTGACATACAATATTTTAGTGTTGGGTCTGAGCACTGTAGCACTATGCCACTCATAACATTTTTATATATATTAAATTCTCATTAACCCTACCATTTTCCTACGCCATCCTCACTCTCTCGCACTTGTCGGGGAAGGAACCGAATGGGAAGGAAGAGAGAGAGGAGCTAGAAGATTACTCAGGGCTTTTTCAACAGTTAGTTCTATTCAAATATTTCTCCTAATTAGTCTAAGTAATTCAAATCTCATTTTTAATTTTCAATAATTTTAAGTTTTATGAATTTCTTCTTTCCTTAATTGTAAAAATATATTTTCTTCTGATTTATTAAGTTTTTATTGTGTACCTTTTGTTATATAATAGATGTGAATTATAAAGATATTTTGATTGTAACATTATTAAATTTTATCGGGTAAAATGGAAGTCGTGATTTTATGTAGCTATAGTTTCATATATAGGTTTTATTACATTATATAGATTACTACATTTTATGTTGCATTTCATAGAAATGAGTTTGATATTTTCATTTAAGCAAGGAAGACTGACTGCAAACATTATAATTGATTTGGGTTGGCTATTAAAACTTTAATACTTATGCAGGAGGGTGAGCCAAAGGGCCTTTCTATAAAAAGGGTTTAAGGAGTTATCCCAATTGTAGTTTGTAACCGATGATCAATTATGCCGACGAACACAGTGTGATGACTCTTAATGATCTATTTAAAATCATTTATAATAATAATGATAAAGATAATGATAATAAAAGTGATAATGATGAAGTGAATATATATGAAAGGTTGAAAAAACCATTGTAAAGTTAGATGTCCTACCTTTCTGAATCATATATTGAAGTATACACATATTGATAGTATTCATAAATAGAACTGTAATGTAAATATATAACATTAATAGATAGATCATGATTGGTGTAGGTACATTTATTGATTGCATACAATGCATATAATAAATAAGATAGATAATGTTGCAACTCATGACCCCGAGTTTGAGATTTGGATGATGACAAATAATGTCGTTTGAATTATCTTGAGATTCATTGAATATTATTTGCTATTGTCCGTGAGTACTAATATTTCAGAAAAGATCAAAAGCTACTCAGGACGACAGGAAGACTCAAGAATGGGTAGATTAGGAGTATGAGTCTGCAATGTATTTTGTTGTTTATTTTATTTTTATTTTCTTGAGTCTTGCCACAAAATGCATAAAAGTCTGAGCAACCATGCACACACACAGGGGGAGAGTGTTTTTAAATGAAAAATTTAGAGTTTTTCTTTCTCTGTAGATCGTACTGTGCGATATTATTTCGTACCGTACGATCAGAGCTTTGTAGGATGATTCTGTGAATAGATTGTACCGTACTAATATAATCATACTGTACGATATGTTCAAATCCAAAACCCTAGCCATCGTCTTAACTTAAGTAAGTTATTTTGCGTCGTTCGTACTGTACGAACACGTTCGTACGGTACGATTTATTTTAAATAATTACTTAATTTAACCCGTGATTAGTGCAAGAAATGCGGGCTTAATTATAATTTGAACATCATACTATACGAACCCATTCGTACAATACGATGAACAGAGACGAATTATAACTATCCCGAAGATCGTCCTGGAAGATCTCTTGGGTTTTGTCTCATCGTACAATACGATGTACATCATACCATACGATGAACAGAGATGATGTTTGATCGTCCCAACTATCATCCTATATGAATAGAATTATTGTGGATCGTATCATACGATTTAATATCATACTGTACGAATGTTTTTGAATTGTTCGTACCACTTCGTACCAGGACGAAGTTTGTTTATACATTTCGTACTGTATGATTAGAAACCGTATTGTATGATAGTAACGGCTACTTTTGAAATCTCAGGGATTTTGGAGCCCATTTTTATGTGTAAAACTTGTCATATTTTGATGGTGTGAATCAGAGAGGAGAACGTGGTTAGAGAGGGATTCCGAGGGAGAGAGCTCTTGAGAAGTTCTTTAGGGTTTGAGAGAGGAAGAAGAAGGTGAGCGTTGTTTGGGAGATCAAACGGTTGCTTCAAACTTGTTGCATCTTGCTCCTCCTGTGGTCCTAGAAGAATTTATGGGAGGATCTCCAAGGGGAAAGGATCTTCTACATCTGTGACCTCGAGGTACTCTGCCTTCTCCAGGAGGGAGAAAAATGAGCAGGTTCTCTGCCGTCGCCAGGAGGGTGAAAATAGAGTTTGGCACTCCGCCACGCCGAGTTGGTAAAAGGGAGTATTGTAAGGGCTTCTCCGCCTTATCAAGGGGGGCAAAAGGAGAGCTATTGCTTGTAGTTAAATACCCGGAGTGGAGGACTCCGGGGAGTGGATGTAGGTCATGGTTTGACCGAACCACTATAAAAATCTCGGTATGCTTTTTCCTTATTGTCTTTTTATTATTGCATGCATTTTATTTCATAATATTTGCTTGGAAAAATATGTGAAATAAAAGTTGTTTAAATCTTTTTTCATGTTAAAATTTTAAAAGCATAAAAGAAAATTAGAACTCCTGCTTAGGTTTTAATTATTGTCAAAAAGTTTTCACAATTCACCCCCCTCTTTTCCATCTAGTAACTTCAGATAAGACTAATGGTATTGACCCTTATTTGATGTGATTCCTTTACTGATGTGTGAATGATTTTAGTATGATTTATTTATGGATTTATTGATTCTTATGTCATATTGGCTAGTAATTCATTGAAATGATTTCATGCTTTTGTTATTGATTATTTTGAGCCTTATAAATGATAACTTATCATTGATGAAATTTAATGCTATTAAATAGATTGACTGGAGCATGCATGCATATTAATTTATTAAGCCTTACATTGAAATCTTTAGTGAATTTGAGTTACTATTAGTTTGTTTAGCTCATTATGTGGATTTTAATTATTTAAGTTTAGGGGAGGGGTCAAAACTAGTTAGAGTGAGTTTGCTAGATATCATTAGATTTACTTTAATTTTGTTTATGGTTTCTTTTATTCTTTTGTAGTTAGGAGAAATTGATAGATTAGTGATTTCACTGTTCTTCTAAATGTTATATATATGATTTCGAAAAATAAATATATTGAAAAATTTTGATGTAAATGATATTAGTTGCTTTCTCTACATATGTGGATCAATATTGATAACTTATAGAAGCTCTCGTAATTAATTATAAATATAAATATATAATTGTTCTAAATTTGATTTAGATGTGTGATAAATTGGTACTAGAGTAGTTTTTGGAACAATTGAATTATAACGAGAGCTATATAAATTGATTATGAGCAGGATATAAGTTAGATAGTAATGATTTTCATTTTTATATTTAATTGATTAAATTATATATGTATATTTATTGAGTTAGTGTGTTAATTGATTAGCAAAGAGATTTTATCAATGGATAGATGCAATATACTGATCAGGATATACATAATGGTCAAAGTACACCACAAATCCAGTGAGTTCTGATAGTTTGATGTAGCTTGCCAGTATGCTTGCATAAGTAATAAGGG